AGTGTGAAGACATCGCCGGAGGAATGCGTGATCTTCTTTGTTCAGACCGTGTTCACTTTGTTCCCACCAAGTCGGGTCCAGACCGTCTTCCCCATGTCCCGTGAGGCTCCATGATGTCTGGAAGATGATCAATTTGATGACTATATATAGAGTACTATAGAGACCACCAAAGAGAGCATTCTTTGACTGACTAGTGAAACTTGGGACAGCTTCAAAGTGGTTCCAACATGTGATCCGAACTGGGGGCTGCTAGTAGAGCACATCTGCTCCTGCATCTGGAGCGTGGAATAGGGAGAGCCCACTGGAGAAACCCTAATTCCACCCCCACCAGAAGAACAAACATGGACCAACGTCGTTGGGCAGGGGGGGGGGTCCCCTCATCATTTTTAATTGAAGCCTATCACTAAGCCCATTCTCCGGTGATGCCGAGGCACCAGGATGGAGGTGAGAAGCATCCCACAGTAGAATGGCACCACCACGCACCTCAGAATGGAGATGGAACTTGGGTGCCATTCCCATTCCCCGGGCCCGTTTTGGATGATGGGGCCTGGTTGCAGACCTTCCTCTAAAAAATCTGATGTTCTTGTTTACCGACCGTTACCGGTAGTGATAGGACTCCCCGTTTTGGTTCGGAAACTGGATCCAGTCAGGAATCCTGGCGTCGGTCCTGGCGTGGGTCCTGCATGCATGCAAGAAGCATCGGTCACTGCACCAGGCGAAAGCAACACACGTCCCGGATGTGATCACTTACTTGGAGTCCAGCCAAGCTGTGGGGGTTCAAACGTCATCCCATAGAATTCACCAGTCAATTGCTGTGAGTACTGACACGAGTTGCAGGGTTGCATGCACTGACATATATATATATATATATATGCAAGATTATCGGTACTTGCAGTAAATCTGAGTCAAACCAAAGATCTTTAGTGTGGTCCAAAGGATCTCAAGATACCTCAAGATACCTCAAGCATATACCCCCCCAAATAAGAACTCCCAATAGCACTCAAGACTTCAGTCGTGTCACATCGAGGTGTCGTGTTGCCCCCCCAAAACCACACACAACATGACCTTGTTCACCTAGGACGCTACCTGGGTGTCCTAGTTTCGGCTGAGACGTGCAGTGCTCCCAGTCTCCCCCCCAGTCTCCCAGAATTTGGTTTAAGGACACATCTACAGGAAAGTCATAGTTTTGGCCTTGGCGGTGAGAACATGTGAACAGCATGGTTTCCATATATGGTTTCCCTCAGATTTTGTCCCTTTACAATTCTGGGATGGGACCCAAACTTGTTTAACTGTTCGTCGCGCTCCGCCATGGGTGAGCGAGAGGCCATCGGCAAAGGTCACGTAGCGAGCCAATGTGGATGTAGGGAAAGGCAAAGACCAGCCTCGGGAGGATGTTCCACAGGCAGAAATCTTCTTGGTGCGAACATGGGTCCCATGTGGTCCTCCCATTCTGGCGCCTGAGAGGTGAACCTAAGATTCTGGTGTTATACCAGAACCTAAGGGGTGTCTATTTATAGCCCCCTAGCTGTGTCAGGGGTGTCCATTCACCACCCGGACGGGGGGTTCCTGGTAGGTTCCAAGACATGGTTTCCTTGGATTCGCCACTGAATCAGCTAGACCGCGTAGTTAGCTAAGCTGTCCACAGAATCCGGTCCAGGCGCACATCGGCAGCCCGAAGCTTCGATGGAGTTGGGGGTCGACATCGACACCGAATGATCCAAGAGAGGTTAAGTGACCTGAACTAGGATCCTACTGTACCTGGAACCCTCCAAAGTACCTTAGAACATGGGACATGACCCTATAAAAACAGGTACGACGTCGTCCCATTTTCTGAAGTACGAATCAACTCCAGGTAGTCCATACCCAAACACTCCATGGGTCCTAGACCCCCGAGTAGGATCTGAGAGACCCCGGCCAGACCAGACCACCAGCCCGCTGCCCGAAACCAAGTCCTGCGGGCGAGAGCGTGGTTTGATCTTCCCCGAGCCCGCTTCTCCGGGCCAAACACTAGGCCATGCTTCTTCCCCGCCAACCGGCGGTGCCCCCGCTCTAAAGGCCTTTTTTTTGGTGCTGAGAAGCATGAAGAGCGCGGCGAAGAAGAGCTGAGTCATCACCAAGCAACATTCCTGGTGGCAAGCTCCCGTGCAAAACAGTCCGGTGGCCACGGCGATAAAACAATTAAAAAACACCACTGATGCATACAAATATTTGAAATGAGAGATATCTTGAATGTTCACCCAATCTCATCAAATATTCAAATAAAAGAAAACACCACTGCTTGGGTGAATTTAGCTTGGAGAGATCACCCAAACAAAATTCAAGAACTCAAGAAATGCGTCGAATCTGGGACTCTAACAGTCTCATCCTTCACCCAGCGGCGGAACGAAAAACGGCCGACGTGACGTACCGAGAACGGTCCTAAACCTGTTGTTTTTTCTGGTCAAAGAAGGAGAAACCACCAGGGCCCCTGAATGCCACACCCCCTCTCAACGATGTTGTGGCCCCTTTATGCCTCTCCTTCTATCTCCACCTCACTGATCACCCCACATGTGGTCTTGCGTGGCCACCGTCATTTATTCTTCTACCGAACGTCCAGCGGAAAGGCTTCCACGGCGAACTTGTTGAAGAGGAGCATCCCCACTGAGGAGAAGCCTTGGTTGCAGGGCCACCGAGGCACTTCGAGACAACAACCGCTGGACTTCGTTCGTTTCATGAATCAACTGGATGTGCTCAAGGAAGCGGGAAACAAATACGAACTCTTTCCCCCCGGGAATTTAAACAAACACAAAGCAAAAAGCATACAACCACATAATAGTGTATGAGCGTTTGGAGTGTCATGCTGTAATTTGTGTGTCCCTCTCTCTCTTTTTCCCTGTCCCTCTCTTTGTCCACCTCTCTCTCAGAGACTCTCTCTCTCTCTTTTTTGTCATGTGTTGGTTCCACAGCTCCAGATGAAAGATCCTTGTCGCATATATACCAGCAGGAGCAAGGGAGATGTCGAGATGTCTTCACCATGCATCTGAGAGTCAGCAGATTCAGGTTCCAAACACACAAGCCCACGAGGCGTTCTACTCAACTTTGGCTGACAGGCCGTGGTCCCCTAGATTCTGACCATAGCCACAGCCGTGGAACAGAGGGTAAGGAGGCAATGTCTGGCAGTGGGGTGCTTCTAGTGGTTTGAGAATGTGCTGAAAATCCTTGCTTGCTTGGCTGAAAATCAAGAAGTTCTTAGACCAAGACAGTCTCCATCCAGGTAGCAATTGCAAGTACATGCCAGGAGAATCTCCAGACGCATATCCATCGATACCCCAGAAGATGGTGTCACACGGCGCGTATCGAACCTACGGGCTGCGGAACCTATGGCCCGCTTCACGGGCGATTTCTTCCGGTCTGGCCGCGGCCGGCTACAATGAAACAGGAGGTTCCAAGCCAAACATGGCTGCGGCACACGAAGATCAAATACACTCCCTGGAACTAACATGGAAGTGGAGAATGGCCCCTTGGAAGACCATTTTCCACTACACACAGGTGGATTTCCACTTCCATGTTAGTTCCAGGGAGAGTAACTCATTTCTTAACGAAATCGATGCGACAGGGCATGGATAGCTGCGACATAGCTGAGATTTCTCCAACGAACCGACGAAACATGCACATCCCCGCGAAGCCTGCCCGCGCATCAGGTGTAGAATATGGAAACGATCATCTGACTTTTTGGAGGGAACGCTGCAGGTAATTACTATGCTACATCACCACGTGCCCAATTGAAGGCGAACTGGGACCTGCAACTGGCACAAAAAACTGAGGGTGAAGTGGAATGAGCTATCTACAGTATCCCCCCTGGCTAATACAACTGTTTGACTGTGCCAGAGTGCCAAATACCAAACGTTCATACAGCAAACAAAAGAAGGACCCTCACAAAGAAAAAGAACACAAAAATGATGAGGACATGCCAGGACCCTCCTGTCGGGGTGTCTGTTTATAGCCCCTTAGCTGTGTCAGGGGTGTCCATTAACCACCCTTGGGGGTCCTGGTGGAATGCTTCTCACTGGTTGACAAGGCTGGTCTGGGGGTGGGGCTTCATGGTTCGCTTCGGTGCTTGGGGCTTCCTGGTGCTGGATCTCTACCCCAGACACGACCGCCATCTGGGACGTTTGCATATTTTTTTAATCAATTGGGGTGGTTGAAAAGGGATCAAAGTATGGATCATCCTGGATCTTCCAACTGTGCTTCTGCCTTTTCATCCATAAAACCAAAGTTCGGCAGATTTTGGCAGACTTTGTTGGACGATCCAAGTCTATTCCTGTCCGAAAACAGGTCGTGCCTACCAACAACTGAGCACCGATACGTTCCCTCAGCGTGGCCGACCGAGTCTCACCGCGGCGAACACGGCGGGCGCTTTTCGCGCTGCGCCCGGGCGGACGTGAAAACCACCACAACTGGAGAGCCATGGCTCAACCAGTGGCGACGTGGGGTGGAAGGAATGGGCCACGGATTCCACGCGTGAGTCAACAGGCAAACGTCGGAGCTGCCTGTCTGGGACTGGACTAGAATCTTTTACTGATCAACTTGAATTGGGTGGATTTGGTGTGAGAGTATAGGCATCAACTCCAAACTCCAGTCCCGTCTTGTCTGGATGTTGTTTTTTCATGAGAACATCATGGCTGCCACCGAAACAGCGCGGCTTTCATCGACCCAAAAAGAGCGTTCCTTCCCTGTCCACCACGCTATCAGGAAGCAGTGTTTGCCAAGCAGCGCGTCTTTCGTCGCACGCTTTCCTTCATGCGCGATCTCAATCAGCTTGAGGTTTTTTGGCAGCACAATCTACATGGAGCCAGACTGCAGTAGCAGTCATATCATTTCTGCCAATAGAGGCATATCAAATCTGAATACAATGCTTTGGGATCTGCTTCCCACATCTTTTACATCTACATGCTCGACGTCCTTTTCAAACACAAAATTTTAATAGCTTATACTAGTAAGGCACCTGTTACTAGAAGCGAGGCACTTGTTACTAGTAGCTTCTTGTTACTATAGACAGCAGCATCTTTCTCTCCTTCTCTTCAACAATCCAGTTGCCGGTCGCTCAGCCTATGCCGGTCACACCGCGGTGCGCAGCGTAATCCAACGCTGTGAGCAGCGTTCAACGAGTTCGTTGCCTGAGTGAGGTGAGGTCGAAGGCGATTCGTTCAGTCTAAGGAGTCTGGAGGCCGAGTAGGCCGAAGTCTGAGTGTGCAGTCCTGCAGAATGGGACCCTGACAAGAAGTGGTTGAACTGTACTTCACCCGGGTGAAGCTGATTTGTAATCATTCTTCACAACGACTTGCGTAGCTGTGAAGTACAAGACCCTCATGTGAAGGTGTCAAGCACAGATCTGCTTCAAAACCCTACAGATCGGTCCTAAATGAAGAAGATATGAATCGATTTGATCTCTTTCGTTGGGCCATGTTGAGCCAACCATGTTGAGCCGGGACCGTTTTTCACCTTAAACATGAGATACGGTCCCAAAGGGCCAGGCCCCATGAGGTTATTGCCTCGCTATCAGCACGTGCTGCGCATGTTGCAAGAACCATCTGAAAGGATCTCTGCAGTCCTGGTCCCTGAGATGTGCAACCAGGCAGCGCACGTTACAGCGCTGAAAGTCCATGGTAGATGGTCCAAATCCTTGGACGTAGAACACGACAAGTGAAAAAAAAAATAGAACGCATATGGGAGGTCGAGCGTCGAACGATTCTATGGGGAAGGCAATGCCAAAGCTCGATCCTGGCCACTGAAAAGCTTCACCTGAAACTTAGGGTTTGCATAGGGTTGTGCTTGTTCCTCACACACAGGCACAAAAAAGAAGACACAACACAAACATGATGCTAGAGATATGCTAGAGCTATCTAGAGCTGCTAGAGAAAACGACCACCAACAACAGACCCCATCAACCCCAGTCCGTTCCATAAAGAATCCAAAACCCAAAACCCCGCTCGAAACTGCCACGGCACAGGGCGTCGCCGGTCTGCGGATCTTCTTCCACAAAGGCCAAGACGGTGTTCGTGTGATCCGAGGCGGCCAGACTCACATGTTCCACCTCGCGTCGGCGGCCCGGCCATGTGCACCGGACCAGGTCTGCCAGGTGGGACATGCACCGTAGAAGGGAAGCGCCATTTGAGCGCCACTGGGGGGGGAAAGCTCGGAGGGTGCCCATTGGGGCCTGGTGTGTCACCAGACACTTGGGTCCTGACGGTGCTGGCGATGGTTGAGTTCACCCCACTTGGGCCAAAGAACCTCCCAACGCTCCCAAGCTGCCCGGTTCGGGAGGACGAACTCAACACGGCCCTGACAGACGTCCACTCTCCGGCCAAGGCGAAGGTCCAGGAGTTCCACCGGCTCAGTTTTTCGGAGACCTGGACCTAGCAGTGTTCCACCTACACTCCTGGGCAGTCTACCCCTACAAGTCAAAGACCTCATTTTACTTGGGATTTTCATACAACACCAATACTTAAGGAGGTAAAAGACCAGGTTTTACTGGGTCTTTGGACTTGTAGGGTACTATGATCATTTTCGTGTGGTGTGTCAGGGTGGAGAGCCGCGGCGGTATACCGAATCACTGCCAACGATGCGAACATGTCTGCCGAACGGTTTTTTTGGGGATGAAAAAGGCATACATGTTGCACCGTCCAACATTCTCCAGTCCTCGGACCCTTCGACTGGGAGCTCCCCACTGTGACGCCCAAGACGGTGGCGACACCGCAGTTCTCCCCCGCGTGGTGGAAGGAGGCCTGGTTTGGTCGTCGCTTCGGCAGAGAGACAAGTTCGGGCAGGATACGCAGGAAGAATACCCTTTCTGCAGTATTTTAGATTGTACATTAGATTGGACATAATTTGATATGTGCATATTGGACATCATTTGACATGTGCGAGTGGATGGGCCAGGATGGACCTGTACCAGCACCCTCCAAGAGGTGTCTATAATAATAGCCTCTTAGAGGTTAAGAGGTGTCCAAAAACCACCTGTTGGAGGGTCCTGGGTATTTTTTTTTTCAGGTTGAACGAACTTGATCCCTTCACCATCCTGTCTGGGTGGCCTGGCTAGACTACCCCTACACTACTTAGAGATTGGACACCCAAACAGGATGGTCCTGGTGGGGTTCGGTCACAAACAGAAATTTCTAAAGTTCGGTCACGAACTGAAGAAGCTGGGAGAGAGCTTTTTGAAGCCAAGGACACGACGGAACCAAGGTCGCCAACTAGAGGCTGACATAAAGCATCTATGAATCTCTGGCATCTTTGATTGTCCCCAAGACATTGGCCCTAGGCTTCCAACCACCATTAATTTCAAAGGCTATAAATTTACCGAACCAAAAAGGGATTTGACACTACAAAAGCCAGGTCGTTCCCATTCTTTAAATGGTCGAACGGAAGTCTAGGGTTGGCAGTTGGTTTAAATCACGGAAGTGGACAGGTGCCCTTGGAAGACGATTGTCCAGTACAACAAAGGGGTTGTCCACTTCGATGGTTTTTAGAGGGAGGGTAAACCAAACAGCTTAGGTCATGTGTACATTCCATCCGAATATAGCTGCACCGTCCTGCTGTACAGTCCATGCTTTTCTGGTGGGTGGATTGTCCACTTCACTATGATGAGTAAGTTGGATCAATCCTAAAGGTTGGCCGTAAACAAATGGGTGTGAAAGTAGTAGGGCAACGACCCCTGGAAGCAGGGAAATAGACCAAAACCACATGGTCTCTCACACACCAAAGACCTCTTTACAAACATACACACTCACGTGCATATCTAGTATATATCCCATTCCGTGGGTTCAGTGGATCATGAGAGTAAGTAAAGGCCGACATCTCCCAAATAGTGTTGTTTTCTGGCTGTTACAGATAGGAACGGAAACCCCCAACCCATATGTATACAACCACCCAGCTTTGGTCACTTCTTAGATCGCCCACGGAGGACAACCGATGAGCGACTGGACCACACGCGACCCGGCCTCCAGCTCGGCGAGGGAGATGGTATACCATGGGAAGAGCTGCTCCGCTGTGGAGCTGATGAAGGCCTGGTGGGGAAGGCAAAAAAGAACATCCACCCTAAGGCCCTCCATGGCAAGAATGCTTGGGCCCTCCAAAGCGCCCGTCCCGACCATTGAAACCCTTCTCATTGGACCCGGATTCTGTGGTGGCAGCGGTTTTTGAGGTGGGTCGCACCGGTCCCAGTGTCGCCGGAGTGGCCAAGACTCGTCTTCCTCATGTGCCTCTAGCCAAATGGACCACAAGGATAATCTACTTCCCTCAGACTCCGGGCCCTCAAACAGATAGGGTTTGCTTCGGCCCCGGACCCCTCCGTTTCGGTGTCGGCTCCGACCCCGGACAGCCCGGGCCCGGAGGTCTTAGGGTGGAGGCATCCCCAAACACGACGGGATCTGGCAGTCCTGACACCCGCTCACTTGGGGTGGTTGAAAGAAACGGGCAAGTGGTGTGCGACATCACACCTGTCGGTATTTCAGAGGCCCGGTGGCACAACTGTCCAAGTTTTGTGGTTTTATGGACCCCTGGACCATCCTGTCTGGGTGTCCTGTCTGGACATCTCGGATAGTAGTGTAGGGTAGTCCAGCCAGGAACATCTTGGGGTGCCAGTCAAACCTCTGAAACCACTGTAGTTTGATGGTAAACGCAGAATCAGGCAGGTCGACCAAAATCCCGCACTCGTCCGGGCGGCGCTGGTCTGTAGAGCGTTCTTTCCCGATGGATCCACGGCCACCTTCTCAGTAGGTACTTGGACCCTCCAAGCCGACATAAAAGAGTCTCGAATCCATCCAATCACCCTTCTCAGAGGATATGCATGTGGATCGGGGGTCGTGACCCACCATGCGCCATGTTCACCTGACCAGTCCAAGGGCGAACGCCCTGGACCCGCAGGAGCCCGTCCCCATCTCCATCCGCCTGCAGCTCTTCTCCCCTCTCAACCAGCAGATCCCCTCCAGGCCATGTCAACCGACCATCAGCCCAGGAGAGCTTGGAAAGTTCCACGTCGGAGACGGTCCTAAGCAAGCAGCGAATGATTATGTTGAAAAGTGCACTACCAATGGGACTGGCCAATTCTCCTGAAGCCTGGCGGTGACAAAACGGCACGTGTGACGGGGCGCTCACGTGGTACGTGGGCAGCCCACAACGGCGTACTCGCTCTGTGGCAGTGTGCACGCAGTGGCACTGTGCATGCAGTGGCTTCTTCTTTTGCTTTTCATCGGTGGTTCACAGCAACGCACCGAAGTCCAAGGGCACAGCCGATGCGTCACCACCTTTTCTTCCAGCGCAAAGAGTCCTGCGCGGTAGCAGCTAGTTATGCGGTTCTCAACGACGGACATAGGAGCATTTCCCGGCTGTCTGCGCGGTCCACACCAACCCACGCAGACCGATGCCTCTCTTCAATACCAAGGAACGGTTCACCCAGCACCTCTGGCAGGGGGTGGAGCAGGTGGAACAACTGGCGACGGGGGTGGTTCTCTGCCAGCAATCCAAGCCACCGGGGGCTAGTTACAATGGAGGGACGATTCGAACATGATCCGAACATGACTCAAGACCGTCCGGAAACCGTCGTTCCGCAGAGCTTGACAAGGTTCGGAGCCATCCTTTGTATTGAAAAACACCAGATTTCGTGCTTCCGCTATCTGTCAAACACGCACTTTGTACGAGACTTCCTTCCAAAGTGCATGTGGAACGCCTGCAAAAACAAGGCTAGAGCTAACTAAAGCTAGAGCTGACTGGAGTTAGAACCAACTAAAGCTAGAGCTGACTGGAGTTAGAGCTGACTGGAGCTAAAGTGGAGCTAGAGAGCTGACTAAAACTAGAGCTAACTAGAGCTAGAGCTTTTGAAAGTCCGTAACACAGAAGTTTTGCACCCTAAATAAACCTCCTTTGAATATGTAGGATGCCTCCATTGACCCTGCTTTATCACCTCAATGTAGGCATATAGACCTATAGAACCTGAAGTCTATTTTGGAATATGGTCCAAGTTCCTCTGATCACAGGGGTCATGCTTGGGTTTCAGGTATGATACCCAGAACTTGAGTGACCACTATTTTGCAGGAACATTGACAACAACGTGCATCGAACCTCCCACCCTCCAAGAGCAGGGTTTACCTCTAGATGGCGGCTGTTGCTACATTGAATCTCCTCAACTCAACACAAACATCCCACAAAGTCAGAGATATGGGTGCACGAGGAGATTGCATCACTTTCAACCTGCATCTATATCATCCGAATGACTATCACTCGACGATGACTCGGGGTCGTGGGAGGAGTGATCTTTCGCCGAAAGGTGCGAGCGACTTACTCGCAAAAGGCCACCGGAACAATGTCCTCCACTGTGCTGGTGAGTCCTGATGTCTAATGTACGCTGTGTGTCTCACACCAGAAGCAGCGTTATCTACCGTCCAAATCTCTGAAGCAGCCTGCGATTCCAACACTGCTGAAATTCCATCAATCACGTCATTCACGTAACTGACCTCCCTACGTAAGCTTTCTGTGCTTGAGCCTTTCGATCAAGTTTCGATACCTGAGCAAGTTGCCCAGGTCATCTGTGTCAAGCATGACCAGCATGTTCTCGAGCACGGTGAACTCAGCCACTGTGCGATGTGGCCCAACGAATTCCTGCGTCTTGCCGTCGCCGAACATGACTCCGGACAGCTTCAGTTCCATCACCCCACGACCTGTCTGGGACTGCCATTTATGCCAATCAGTTGGGGTGGTTGAAAGGGCGTCAATGGGGCGGCAGTCCTATGGCAGTCCCATGGGTCGTGTCTGGGTCATCCTCAGTCCAAACGGACCAAACACTGCAGTCCACGGGACTGGGACCAGCACCCTCACCGACCCGGTGCTGTTTGCTCGGTTCTTTCGGTGGCTTTGGAAAGCCTTTTCCAGACCCAAACACGACCGCCATCTGGGACTGCCAGTCCGGACTGCCGCCCCAGACAGACCCCCTTTCAACCACCCCTGGCCTGATCGGCAGTCCTATGGCAGTCTACACTTGCTCAAATCTCTTTTTCATCTGCCAGAAGCACCTCTGTGTCATCTACTTGTGAAATGATGGAGCTCAACTGCTCAACTTGACCTTACGTACCATTACAGAAGATACTGCAGCAGTCGCCCTTGCTGTTGCATCAACAATGGCTAGCGGCTTTCTGCATGTTCTCGACTGTCTGGCCTCTGCCAGCTATCGCACGTGTGTCCGATGAGTTTACCGGTGCCAACTTTGGTGTGCGTTGGTAAACGAGCTGATCCCCCACATGGGGCTTTCCAGGACCGTAAAGCAGTGTTGAACTCAGCTTCACTCAGCATTCCAAGGACCGATGGTCTGGTCTCAGGTTTCGTCCCCAGCAGGACTGCTAATGAGCCTGGAATGGTCCTCTCATCAGCCATCTGAGATTCGTCAAGCCCTGCAAACCTGAACACGTCCTTCATGGCCATGGCCTTCCTCTTATCCTCTGTTGGATCCATATCTCACTTAGTCCTTGCTCACGCACCAGAGGATACACCACACGGCAGCCGTGCTCAAAACAATGATCAAAGCACACAGGACGTCGAGCAAATGGCACTCCGCGACCAACCACCGGCTACTTGTACCCATCACTAGTTCTAGTGGTGCGCACCAGGTCTATTCACCCCTACCCCCCCAATGACGAAGTCAAATGGGGATGGATGGTCGGTGATCCACTGGGCCGCGGATCACTCCGTGCACCCACCCACATCCATCCAACAGGTCGTATACAATGTTACTTCCACATGTTTCATTCCCAGACACAACCCATGGGACTGCCATAGGACTGCCGCCCCAGATAGACCCCTCTGGCACCACCCCTGGCCTGATCGGTATATATGGCAGTCTGGGATTGTTACATTCCAAAACTTGGCCTTTTCCTAGCAAAACAAAGGTCACAAGTCACATCTCCCAAATGCTAAGCATCATGGCCGGCCTACCAGTGATCTAAACCAAAAGCCACCAGTCATCTAGGCCATACCTGGATCTTCCAACTCTGCAACATGTCTGCCTTATTTTGCTGGTCCTTTTGTTGATGAAAAGGCAAACCTTCCTTTTATTGCAGACTTGGAAGATGGTCTGGGACTTGGTCTGGGACCTCTATCGATCTTCTTCTCTTCTCCCCTTCGTCCCACCCGTCGGCGACCGACCGGAACTCGCCGAACCGTTGTGTGCGCCGTGGCTCGTGCCGTGCGCGAGCGCCGCGGAGCTCTTCGAGGTCCGCGTCAGCGTCACGTCCGCTCCCTGGTGGCGCCAGGAGATCGTGGCAGGCGGAGCGGTCCGGGTCACCTGGAGGTTGCGTGGTCGGTGCGATCGTCGCTTTCGAACGAAGAGCTGATCACAGCATGCATGTGGGTGATGTTTTTTGTTATTTATGATAAATCCAATGTAAAATGTTCATGATTTGATGGCCCTAAGATTATTATCCATCACGCCCCTCGCTCCAAGCTTTCGGCAACACTTCCCGAAAAGGGTGGCATCGTGGCACAGAGCAAAGTGTCGGTGGTTTTATAAACCCCCATCTTTTCAGGACATCTGGAGGTCTGTGCCATCGGACCTCTGACAAAAAACACGGTAGTTTTAACCTTAACTGCAGCTGATCACAACATGCATTTGGGTGATTTGAAGACTCCAAAGAGGTCACTTTGAATCCTGGGTTTTAACAAAAACGCTGTTCACTGCAGCGTGATGCTTTGCACCAAACAAACAGCTTTGCGTCCTTTGTGGCACCAAAAGTCCGGCATGCTTTTTGTCACACCACTATCCATAAGATTGATAATTACAAAATGGAGTGATAATTATCACTCTTCAGGGGTACCAGGAATACACTCAAGACCCCATCAAAAAGACCTCACGTACAGGGATGGTCACTAGTCCCATGGATGGTTTGGGGGTGGAGAATTGGCCATAGACTCTTCCCCAACGATCTCGGGGATCGACCCACACGGAACGCGCCAGCACCGAGCAGTTCATGGTTTGGTGGGTAGGGTTTTGGACCAAAGAGGCCAAAGAGGCCATATCTTCCAAAACAGGTCGTGGTGGTGTTGTTTCTTTCTTCCCCCAGGCTGTGCCTCTTCCGCCTGGTTCGAGATGAACGTCTGATGATGGCCAAGCAGTTGAGTCCAAAGGAAGAGAGGATCGAACCTAGGTCCAACACTGCTCTTCTCTGCCCTTCGCTCGGTGGAGTTGGCAACTGCCATCCGGTGAACGAACACCGATGGCATCATCAACAACGCCAAGGTGCTGTGGAACAACAACACCAACGTTGCCAACGCCTATTGTAGTGGATTCAAAGTAGATGGCGATATTTGATGCATGGCGGGCGTTAACCTGTCATTCATCCATCGTGTGCCTCTTGCCTCATCCCGTGGTGTACCCCGCACCCCTTAGATTCCTGAGCCCCAAAGAGGTGGTTTCCCAAGCGGCCACCACCTCACCACGTGCAGGGGGGGGGGCTCCACCAAGCCACGTGTGCGAAAGGCGTTAAAATTCGATCCATGGGGCCTCTGTAATACAATTAACCACTGATATTCCTAATCCCTAAGGGTCCAGGACCATCCTGAGGATGTCCTTTGCCCCCCCAAGACCATTCTCTGGAAGTACTTTCACCCCCCAAGACCATCCTTATTAATTGGTCAGCAACATTGTTGAAGCACCATTTGCCACTGCCAGAATCAAAACCCTAGATACACAGCAAAACCCTGGATAGCAGGCATGGCCCATTTAACCAGATGTAATTGAACTAATATTCCTGGCACACCATTGATTTCCATGGTTCAAATCCAGAACAAGCATGGCTGTACTAAGGGTTTTAGAGGACAAAGTGCATGCAAGTCAACCGGGTCCCATCCCTTCTCGACAGGGCACAACTCGGTGGCGGAGGAGGTGACTTTCTCATGCCTCGGGTGGGAGACAGTCCAAACTGTACAAAGAAGGTGTGCGTGGCTGGTTTCGTTGGTGCTTTTGCGTAGTTCGGATCCACATACCTTCTCAGGTTCGGTACAACTGGACCCGACCCAGGCGCCTACATGAATTCCAATCACCGTACCTCAGAAGTTATGTGGATCCATACCAGGGCCCCCTAAGGGTTGTCTAATTGTAGCTCCTTAGAGGTTAAGGAGTATCCATTGACCACCCCTTAGGGGGGCCTGGTATGGATCCATAATAGGGGTCGGTGTTTTAGGATGTTCGTTCACATGTCCACGGCTGTGTTCATCAGTCGACTGGAACGCCGGTCGAAGACCGTTGGCGTCTTCAACACCTTCTCCGAAGGGTCCGGCGCATAGGTCCAAATGGAGGAAGAGGGTACAACTGCTAGAAGGAGCAAGTCAAATAATCTCAAACTATAGGTTCTGAGATGAAAAAGACCACCCACCAGGTCTGTGGCACTTGATTCTTGAACCAAGGGGCTGATGAATCAGCAGTTCATGTTTCTTGAAGTCAAAGATCAGGTGATTCAGCACGCGCGTCGTTGGCTCCACTAATCCCTGGCGTTGTGCGTCAGACCGACCGCGTGTGGTGGCGTCGCTCGCGGTGGCTTGATCATGGGTCATGACCCGCGTGTGGCTCGCGGCGTCTGAGAATGGAAGGATCTGGTTGAAGAGTGCTTTCTTGTAGAAGATACCCATCACCAAATGGGTGAGGGAGTCTTGGTAGCCATTTTATAGAGGATGTGGGGTTGGGTATTGTAGAAGTGTCATCCATATCAGGGGGCGATTCGATGTGGCTCACGGCATATGACGTCTGTTTAAGGAATGTGTCCTTGTTTGAAGGCTGCGAAGCTGCGCTCCGGAAGACAGCTCCTGTTCCAACTTTTGATCAGACTGTCTTGGACGAAACAACACATGTTTCTTTTTGGAGAGGGGTGGGGAATACCCAGACTTCTCCATTTCCCGAGAATACTGGACGGAATTCGTTCTGGTATGAGCTGCGGAGGTACCAGGTCTCGTGACTTTATACACGGTCTCTGAGGTCTGTGTCACTCTCCCAGTGCAGCTCCACAAAAAGAGCTGCCTTGGCTGTCGTTTGGAATTCTTCCTTTGACGCAAAAGCCCTTTCTTTTTGTGGGTTCCAACATGTTTTCTTGTGCAGGAATGGCCAGACACCAGCCAACAACTGCCTCCCTGGCCACAAACCCATCATGGCAAAAAACTGGTCATTTCCCTCTAGAGTGCTCTATGTTAATATCAGTCGCTTATTAACAGTGCTCTATGTTAATATCAGTGCTCACTTGTCACTTATGTTGACTTTTGGGGTACATAAGTTCCTATTCTCAGACGGCTGGCAACCCTGCCCCACTGCTCTTCCACCTGCCCCTGCCAGGCCCTGCCTCACCCCTCTTGGGTGGATCGTAAGTATCGCTGCAGCCGCCGCAGTGGCATCTGGCGTAATACTCCTCGCACAAGTATCCTGAGATGACCGACTTTGTGTTTATTTTTCCTCAGAACCTTCGCGCCATGAAACTCTGCTGCGTTTTTCTCCAAACACCCAGAAAGTGAAAAATGGTTGTCCTTATGTGAAAAAAAGGATGTCCCCCATCTTTGAAAGAGCTTCCCAAGCTGTCAGCTTCCTATCTGCTTGATTTTAGTTTTTGATAAAGACAATCAACTGGCCCCCCCAAACGGAGAAACAACTGCCACTGACCCAGCAATAATTTTGACCAGCTGCACGTGGTGCACACAGCCTGTGGAATGTTAATTAACATCATATATATATATATATAACCCAAGAAAAAAATAAATTGTCAATGTCTTTCCTCTGAGATCAGAACACAGGAAGTCTGCAGCTGACAAAAGACCGACTTCTACACTCAGATTTCTGCAGCTGGCTGGTTCGTCCAGCCACCAAAAGCTCAACAGCAATTGGACTCTGGATCTTGGACATGCCGTCATTTCTGAACGCCCACCATCCCTGCACGTTGGTTGGCTCATCCACACGAACGGCTGCTGGTCCTGCGTCCCTTTTGGCGGCGGACTCCCTCAGTTTCCCTTGAAGAAGGTTTAGCTTCTTCCATCCGTTTTCCCTTGAATCTCAGAATATCATGTAGACTCTTGAGGACCCTAAATAGCCCCCTTTGAAGAGGATGCACATGATGCTGGGCAAACGTTCCAACCTCATGTATTAGACTGTTGATTGATCAACCATGGTCCAAACATCTTGAAACGAAACCCTTTTGGAGAGACGGACGCATCGTTCTTGCCTTCCCCCAAAGATGGAGATCTTAAAAACGTGTCTTAAAAGACATGTTGAAACCATTCCGGAGACTGGGGGCGGGTAGTTATGCCTTCTGCATCAACAGCACAGTCCTCGTCGCCCCAAAGATCCATGGAGACCCGGCCACGGCTCCCGCGCCGCCACGTCTCTCTTCCACGACGGGACAAGTCTCTCTCTTCCCCCGTGGCCACCGCCAGCACATCAAGTCCAGGAAGTCCGGCCTTCTTCGAAAGCCTCGAACTGGACGAACCGAGGTTGAGTGGAAGGGCAGCAGCTCGCTGCGAACCAAGAACCCGGACACTCAATTCATGATAGATGGGTGTGTATAGTTCAATAGCGGGACCCTCTGGCCCCAGTGGGTGTTGGTCTATTTCCCTTCTTCCAGGATAATCTCCCTATTTAAAACCCATATTCACCCTCAGGGTGCTCCTGGTTGTTGCGAGCTGAAGCCAACGAATTCACCCGGACCAGAAAAGAAGAACATCATCGCAAAACCAGGAGCAACTCTACATGGGCCCTCCGGTCCTTTGATGTGGTGATTTGTGGGGTGTGTCCATGAACTCCCCAGAGTCTGAATCCCTTCTCTACCCCTCTCAAAACCCTCTATCAATTGGACTCAAGAGCATCCTGAGGCTGGATCTTTTCACCTCCGACCTGTGCGCTGACCCAAGCACCACGGGCCACTAAGAGCCCTGTCCAACCAACGGCCGTGGGGAACCCCACGCGCGACTGAGCGGCTGGTTGGACAAGTACCTCGACCAATCGCTCGCCATCGCGGCGGACCCCTCGGGCGCACCGTTGCGTTCGCCTCGCGGACAGGAGGAAGGGCAGCGAGCGAGTCGCCGCACCCGGAGGAAGGTGTATCCCATTCCCAACCGCAGAACCCATTGGGCCAGAGATGGCCAGAGTGTCTAGAGAACCTATTACCACTTCTACTACCATATGTTGGGTATATATCCTATAGTTCCAGGGCCTGGTGGATGATGTTGGTTCAGTTGCAGGCCTTTCCATCTCAAAAATAGACAAATAAACGAACACATGATCTTTTATTTGACCTCTTACAGGTCATGAGACACAACACTACCAGTAGTCTACAGGCCGCACAGCTGCACGCAGCACGAACCATGTTGGGGTGTTGGACTGGACCCATGCGAGCTGGGTTGGGGGCCGGCATCGGGACACCCGTTCTTTGCCCCCACCAAGAATGAAGAGAATGGACCAGACATGGTCCAGCTACGGTGAGTTCCGAGTCCCCAATCGCATCAGTTTGGAGGATCCGAATCGCGGTTCGCATCGGTTTGGGTGATCTAAGACGAGTCTCCACGGCGAGTCTTTCAGATGTTACTTTCTTGCCCGATGTCTAATCAACTCTGCGATAAAAAGAGGGCTTATGTTAGAATGAGACCTTCAAATTTGAGCACAATGAATTTAACGTGGTTTCTTAGACCTCTGAAGAGGGATCACCCCGTCCAACACAGGGGTCCGGCGGTTTTCGCCGTCCCTCTGAGGGGTCCTGCCATGCACTTCTGTGTCTTTTTTGGGCAGCCTTTCCCTCTCCAGAAAACCCTTCGAATCATTCGAAACAGCACCCGATATCTGCCGGCGCTTTTGTCAGAAACAAAAAGAGGGTAGGAACCCGGGTGTGTATTAGATAGAGTAGGGACACCCCTCAAAGAAGGGAAATAGAGATAGAACAATCAAGATAATCAAGTCCCACATATTTCGATCCACACCCATGCTTAGACGTTAAAGAGCTTAAGAAGAATGAAGGGGTTCGAACCGAAACGGCGATTTAGGGTCTTAAAAGACCAAACCCCCCCGGACCTGGGTCAAAAATGGACCTGTTTTTGAGGGAACGGCGCCGCCGAACGTGCCGAACCCCCCGACCGAGTCACCCGAGCCCGTACCGAAAACCACCGGTGCAGTTGCTCAACGACGTGCGCCGGGGACAGAACATCTGGGAACCTCCCTTTTTCCCCGAAGAAACACCCGGTTCCCAAGAGAGGTTAAGTGACCTGAACTAGGACCATTTTGGGGTACCTATGGGATAGTCTATAAGGTTCTTCAACCTCTGTTGGTCCTCTGCAAAAAACGAAGCCATCACCTGCGCTGCAAATCATTCCAGGTGAGATGTCAAAAGAACTCGCAAAGCTTCTCCCCCATTTAGACCACCATGAGGCGACGTGCGTGCGACGCGCCGCTTCCCGGGGAGACCCGTTCCTGGAATCCACAATTCGTTCCAGCCTTCACAATAGGATTCGCGTACTTCAAGGCCGAAGTCCTTTCTTTCCTGAGGCACATGACACATGTGGTCGTGTTGTTCGTGGAAGCAACCACGTGCTGTTCCAACATGACAGATGTTTTTTTGTTTTTCTGATAACTGAAGGTTTGGTGGTTAAGAAACCCATGTATTTAATTTAGACCTTGCTAAGGTATACTTGCCTGCAACTCTATTCATGTTGGCCATAAATCATAGAAACACTCCGGATTCGGTGGCTACCATGTGTGGAGTTGCACGCCCTGGTTGACACTCATCATTGACTCTATCAGCGAATCGGATCTACCTGGACTGGCTATAGATCTAGTACTCAAGATTGGAGAAGATCGTTGCAGCAGATTTCAGGTTTCAGGCATGTTGGGACTATGTGGGCTATTGAACTTGAATTCCTGATGGACAGCAGCGAACTGGAGTCACACTTTGTGAAAAAGCTTCAGGAGAAGGGAGAACGGTGGAGAAGCCCCAAAAAATTTTTCTGTCCCTTAAATGATGTCAGATTCGAGTACTGCCCCAACCTCCTGCCCTTTAAATCCCTTCAACATGGGTTTAATACTATATGAATGGAACATGGTGAAAAAGGTCTTACCTATATCTTTCCGTGGAACCTCCTGTGAACCGCCATCTCTAGGGGCGGTCCTGTTGTGCGGTCCTGCTCATCCGTTCGCCTTCAGTGAAGACCATTCAAATCGTCTTTATTCTAGTCTAAAATCCTGAGACAAACAGCTGGTTCTTTGGTAAACCAACACAAATTATCACAGAAGCTATACAACTTCACCACTCCACCCCCCATGTCACGCACGATACTCCGCTCTGAAAAAATAAACGTATCACCTCATAACGCTTGGACATGCTTGGACCGGAGACCTGCCATAATTGGAATGCCCCTCCCCACTCCCTCTTCGCCAAGACCTCTCACGCTGCTACTTCCCTCCCTCTCAAGTACCGCCAGACGACGTACCGTCCCACGATGCCATCGCCCATCAGGTCGCCGTGCTCCGACACCTCAGAGGGTCGCCCGTGACGGGACGGACGGAGGCGACGGAGGAAAGCTGCGCCGGACGGTCACGACGCGTGGTTCGGACTGAAGGGACTGAACGGACTTGGTTCGGAACCCTGGAAGAAGGGAGTCCCTTAGGAAGGGGGAGGTATACCCAGTTCGGGGAAGAATACCGAATCACCTTATAAGCCAAGCATATAGCATATAGCAAAGCCAGGGTCTTTCTTACGTGTATCGATTTGTCATGTCGTCTTCCACCAGTGAACCGGCGCTTCTTCTTGTGTTTCGACCCCGCACTCTGCAGGTTTGGTCGACCACGTTTTCGCCGGCCGATCTGCCCGGAGCTGCAGGCTAACTAGGCTTCGCTGATTGGTAAGAGAACGGACCTCATGAAATAGAGAAGTCATACCAGGACCCTCCTGTCGGGGTGCCCTGTCTGGAAGCCGAACGGCCGGTAGTGTGGGGTAGTCCAGCCAGGACACCCCGACAGGAGGGTCCAGGTAGAAAACCACAACTTGACAGGAGTTTAAGCTTGACCCAGGTTTAACTGGGTCAGACTGGACCTGGGTCCGACTGGACTTCTTTTTTGGGGTGTGGGCGTGGATGTCTTCCTGTGGAGACCCCCGAAAGCTCGCGAGACCTGACCCCGACTGGTCTCTCGACCAGTCGAGACCTGACCTCAAACCGAAATCTTCGTTGCCGTGCCCGTCCGACTGAGCTACACACCTAGATTAGTCTCTTCCTCTTTTTACTCCATCTAATTAGGTGCTTCCTACTCCATCTATATAGGTGCGACTGAACCCAAAACTGCCAAGAACCTGTGACGGAACGGGTCCCGAAAAGAACCACCTGCAGCCGACCTTTCTCCCGAAAGCAGCACTGTCCACCCCCGTTCTTCGTTTAGCGTTCCGCCATCGGATCTCGCGTCGCTATACGCGTTGCTGCGCGTCGCACCAAAAAGGCCGGAGAGCGTGGTAGCCATGGCAGTAGCCATAGGGGTCATTATGCGGATCCTAAGCGGCCCGAAAGGATGCCAGGTCCGCGTGGATGCCAGGTATCCTATAATGATCCTATACTGGGGAGCCATCTTTTGTCCACCACCCAGTTTATTGAGATGGACAATAGATGGTCAGTCAGGGGGCTCTTTTTCAACCATCCGTCTCCTGGGTGGTGGATCGGTCTCCGGATCGGATGCTCCGTTCACGTAGACAGTGTAGACCGGTCGTAGGTCGTAGATAGACCGGTCGGGACCTTCCAAAGCAGTTGGAGCAATCCAGGAAGAGTCATACAAACCAAAAGCATTAAGGTTGGGGCTGGGGCAGTCTTCCCCATTTTCAAACAAACTCATGTGCGTGGTGACAATATGTGACTGTCTTACCATCCCAGCCGCTACGGCTTCATGCTCAGCCCATGTTAGGGACGAGCACATGCTCAAACAAACCCAGTAAAGTGGGGCCATTCAATGATTGCTTGCTCCTCAGATTGGTTCAATTTACACCCCAAATGAAGAAAACGCGATGCTCACCAATTCCATGCAATGTTTTTGGCATGCAATCGGGACCCACAGCCACTTTGAGCTTTCACGATATCCTTCACATGCAAGCTACGTTGGACTGAACTGAATGCCTACAAACAGTCGTCGAAGTCTCATGACATGCACACGATCAACCAAACAAGCAAAACCATTGGCTGGCATAGGTGTGGACAATCATGGTTTGTGAGATACTGGTGGTGAAACCAGTCCCTTCCCTGGACTTTATACCTCCACAGTAGCGGTTGTCAGGAGCCAAGTGCTTCGGATGCTTCTGAGTTGCTTAGGAAATGTCACTGAAAGGGGGCTGGAAGGCAATCAGTCCCGGCCACAGGCTGCATGCATGCATCCCCTGCCATCCCTTTCCAACGGCCCAAGGGTGGATGCCAAATGGACGGTCAACAGTGCACCATCCACGGTGCCCGGACGTTTTTTGGGCCGCGTATTCCCGCTGTGTTCTTCTCCGGGCGTCGACGAAGGCTTCCTCTTTCATACCGGAGAGCCTTGGTCCATCGAAGTTGGCAAGACAATCAGATTCCCCATGCCAGGAAGGCCAGGAAGAGAAAAGCAAGCAACAATCTTTGTTCATTGTGCATTTATAGTTATTTTTATAAATTACATTATATCTCATTATGGTATAGTATAGTCCATATATGCTCATAACTTCAGCCAGTGAGAGAACATCACACTTAATCCGCTTCAGCGAAGCTAGGCAGCAAGTCCACCCCGGCACAAGGACAGCAGTGCTGAGTGAGTGCCAAGTGGGTGCGGTCCACTGCGGCCCTTGGAAGCAGAATGCTGGGATGAGGAGTCCCAAATGGGGGGTGGAGATGGAGGACGTGATGGAGATGTCTAGATGGGCCCATAAAAAAAATCAAACTTCACGGAATCGAGGGTCAAACTTGAAAAATCAAGCCAATATTTATACTGCTTTCGCAAAAAAAGATCTGACGGGCCTATCGCCACAAAACGAGCTTGAAATTGACCTCTTTCCAGTTCATTTTTAGTTTGGTTGGACAGTCTTAATCACGGATTTGCTGTCCAGGAGCTGGGAAAATTGGACTTGTGCACAAATCCAGTTCGGGAAGAACCAAAATTTGCGCTGAATAAGCACAGCCATCCAATGCCCCAAAACCCGGTCCCATAGATATAGTCCTTTCCCCAAGGGGCGTGCGTGGGACTGAAAGGGTGGCCCCAAGTAGACGCACAAGTGTAATCCTACTTGCCTTTGTCGGGTGCTTGAGGCCAGCCATCGACCGCTCATGATACATGTACGGTGTGTGGTGTTTTTGGCCCTGCTCTTTAAGTCCAGCAAGTGGGGGTATTACTTCTTAATCACTGGACCAGCTGCCCACTGGAGAAGGTGCAAAGATTTGCACACTGACTTTTGGTGGTTCGAATCCACCCTGGTCCGTATTGTTTTCCTTGGTTGGCGTTCTTTCATTTTGTTCATCGCATCGTCGTCATTTTTTTGTACGTGGTCGGGTTTTCTGCGAAAAACAATAAACACCTAGACCATCCGGATGACCTCTATGTTGGACCGCGCATCCCCCAAAATATGGCACAACTTCCCATCCCACCACAGGTCAAATGGGTTCTAGGCAATTGCATCTTAAGACCTCCCTTACGTAAGTGACCTTTTGCAGGGCTGTTTGAGACCAATCGAACGAGGGAATCAAGATGGGTCAAGAACGGAAAAACCAGGAGCTCTGGGACACTGAAGATGCGCCAGGTTCACTCATCCAGCTACTTTGTCCTCAATGGGTTCAACCGTGCTCAACCCCCTGGGCCACGTTCTGCCGAGCATCTGAAAGTCCCGTTCCACCACGTCAACCACGTCAACTGCAGTGACCGCGTCGGCCACGTTGGCCGCGTCGGCTACCTCGTCCGCGTCGGCTGCCCAGTCCGCGTTGCCCGCGTCCGCGCCGGGTTTGCGGGCGACGACCTGCGGGCGCTTCGTGTAGGGATTGGAAGCCAACAAATGACCCAGACTGAAATATATATGACCTGCACGCCGTCTGCCGTGAACACCTGCATGCCGTCCACATGTTTCAGATTTGCAATCCCCATCGGGGCAGAACTGATCCGATTGGACGGACCATCTTTTACCGCTCCAAGTCGGTCTTGACCCATGATACCATACTGACCCAGGTTGTAATGGACACGACACAGATTGTCAACCAACCCATAGATGACTGGAGAGGAGCTGGGATTCGAGTGCATCTCTGGAGCCGTCATCTTTTACTCAAATCATTCTCAAATCCAATGTTCACATCATCAAGGTCCCTTCTCTCAAGGCAAAATATATAAAATAATCCCCAAGAACTGTGCATCAAAATCCGCCTCCTGCCAGGCAATGGCCAGCTCGCAAATTCACCAACAAGTGTCGCGTCTTTGCCAAACAATGCTGCCTTCAGAAGTGTGAGCCTTTTGAACGTGCCACACGGGCATACCAACACGGCAGTTCTTTGGCATAGCACATATATCATGTGCCCCACATGTGCACAAGCACACATTGCGTATCTCCCATGTGCTGCTTGCACACCGCAATGCCTCTGGACTCTAGCCTCTGACTGATTCTAAGCCACGTTCAATTTAGCATGGTCATGATACAGAATGATGTATCAACGTGTCCAAAGATTCAAGATATGCATCTCGACAGGCTCGACCGACAGAAAAGCCAGTTCAATGACAGCAAGGATGGAGGTGAAGTCACTCATTGACGACATAATGGTTCTTGAGCCACCAGTGTGCGTAGCTCAGCAACAGGAATATGGTTCTTCCCATTCCCGCTCTAATTCCTTCCTTTTGCGAGACAGAGTCCTCACATGGAAGTCCTCATTGGCAGCCCGCTCGTCCGCTGCCTTTTTGTTGTCATCGCTGCTGGTCGCCCAACAGCTTGGCCTCTCTGATGGTTTCCTTAGCCCTTTCAGAAGGCATTTCATGGGCCATGTTTTTAGAGATCGGCATGATTCTGGAGTGCGACAACCAGAGGTTCATGCCAAGCTTGGCCCTTGGCCGGTATTGTAGACCAGTCTTCGTTGATCAGGTATTTGTAGACCTCTTCAAACTCTTGTTTCCTTCTGATGAGCGATATGCCAAGAGCGAGGGATGTTTGAGAGTATACCTGAGGTATATCAAAATGAGACAGTCTCTGTCATAGACAGGCTTGCCGTTAACGCTTGTGAACCACTCTTCCTGTCGGATGTTACTTACGATGTTGTAAGTACTTCGATGCACCGCGCGCCGCGCATTCACAGCCCCACACCGAAGCCCGCTGTGGCGCGCTGCGCAGGCCAGGTCGACCTTTCGGTCTGGCCCTAGGGCTCCTGGCCCATATCCCGAGACTTAAGGTAGTTAGACCCCCCAAACCCACCCCATCCACCATCTCAGGAGGAGCCCACATGGGTGCACACCCGTAGAGACGGCGCACCTTGTAGACGGCGCCATGACAGGCACGTGCGAAGTAGGCGTCCTCCAGAAGGGTCTCCAAGGGCACCTGGAGAGTGGGCGGAGCACAACAAAAACAAAACATGTATCTTCTTGGTTGATGGCACCCAGAGCCCCAAAGATACACCCAGTTCGAGTCCAGGAATGGTCGAATGGGGGGGTCAAAGGACATCCGAGAACGGATGGTCCTGGACCCTTAGGGACAGGGTAGGTTGACCATGTCAGGTAATTAGTCAAGTCTGTTCATTCTCGGCGGGCAAAACGTCTCCAGGTGTCCCTTCCTCCGTTGGGTGCACACACGCGCACACACACACAGTGCGGTCCTGTCCTATCTGGGTGGTATGAAGTGGGTGCTATGACTCCAGCCTATAGCCGTTCAAGACCATTGACAAAAATGGTTGACACTGGTATTTGTGTAGTCTAGTATCCTTAGTAAACCACTGAATAATATGTGGATATATGTGGTTAAACAAAAACAACAACAAACAATAAAAGGTTGTGTAGCAGATCCGAGCACCACGAAGTATTCTAAATGATCCGGACGTTTCTTGGGCCGGACGGAGATGCTTCTCGGGAGGTAGCGATGAGGCTTGGCATCGTTCTGTCATGACGAAGCAGTGAAACTCACTCATCGCTGGACTGGAATGTCATCTGCTCATATTATGGCTGTGCGTCAAACCCTCCCCACCAAACCATGGAATTTGGACATGGTCCAATAGAGGAATCCATGCATTTTCGCTGGTCTGGCCCAGGGTCCCCTTGTTTGGAATGGTGTTCCTTCTCATATTCTGCTCAGTCACTCGACCGAGACGGTGGAGGTTCAGCGCTGAACACGTCAAGTTCGACCCTGTTAGACTCGACCCCTTCGTACCTTGGTAGTCATGGGTAGTCATGGGTAGTCTGGTACCTGTTTTGATAGCCCAGACACTCCATGTATGCCATATATGCCTATTGACCCCCTTTCAACCACCCCAACTGATTGGCACTTATGGCAGTCCCATGGAGTGTTTTTATAGGGTCATGATGTGTGATGTCCCATTTTCCAAGGTACGAACGAAGTCGCGTCCAGGCTGACGAGTGATACCATGGTCATGGTCTTCTTCTTCGGCGAGTCTTCAGGTCCGTTTCCGTGACGGGAAGGGATTCCATGACTGTGGCGGGAAGTGCCATGATTTTAGCACACATCCTCTACCTTTGGTAGTAACCAGCTCTACCACGGGAAGGAGTAGAGCCGAGAGCTATGATTTTAGCACAACAAAAAGATTGGACTGGAGAGGATGCTGATCCTTGGGACCAGATGGGCTTGACCCAGGGATTGATGATCTATCGAAGGCAACAGGTTTCTTCACTGGAAAACTGTTAGGATCTGTTAGGCATTAAAGAACCGCTTTGGATGCAATTTCTTCCTCTGAACCGCGCTGAAGAAACAGAAACCAGCACCACCCAAAAGACGTTTACCAATCTTACCCTACGTCCAGTCTGACCCAGATTCAGTCTCTTGGTCAAACTGACCTCCTTAAAGTGTATTGGTTTTGTATGACCCAGGTCCAGTACAGTCCCATAGGGTCCAGGACCATCCGTTCTCAGATGTCCTTTGACCCCGTTTGACCATTCTCTGGTTTCGTACGTACGAAAACCTCCGGCAACGACCGTCTGAAGTACGGAGGTACCTGGACCCGAACTGGGAGTACAATGATGTCGGTTCCAGACCGGGAGTTCGATTGCATCGAGTCGGTTCTTTCCACTCGGACGCACGTCCGAACCGAACCCGCGGCGCACCTCCGAACCGAACCGGGCGGATTTCTAGGAACCGGCGGTTCCAAAAGACCGTCACAACATGACCAGTAGATGCGATGTAGATGGATTGCAAGACTAGTAAATGACACCAACTCCCCAAGATGACACAGAGGTGTTTTTCTTTTTTGAGCTCGAATCTGTCGGCCATGCGTGTGGGTGCCACTGCTATATTGCTATATCTATTGTCTATATTTAAAAAAAACAACTCTTTTAGGCAGAAGGAACTACCAACTCCCAAGTGGCCAGTGCCGCTGTCAGGGCTCGGTCGACCCGTTGGCCGATCGGACCGGTCCAAGGCACTGCTTTCACCGTTTGGGTGGCCGGGTCGAAGTCCACGGTGTAGAGCTTCGACTGACGCGACGCCGACGCAGCCGACGCGACGCAGTCCGTTGGCGCGCTCCGCTCGTGGGTCGCGCGAGGAGGGGTTGGAGGTTGATAGACCGAGCCAAACGGGTCGAGGACGGGACGACGACCACGGTGGTGGTCACATCACTTTTTCGTGTTTGTTCTGGTGGAGATCACATCCCTTTTTTCTTTATTGGTCAAGCCTTGCTCGGGATCCGGTGATGGTGGTCCAGGTGGGTACCAGGGCGAGACGGTGGAGCGGTGGATCTGAGTAGGTCACTCTAAGCGCCATATCCAAAATTTCATGATCTCAGTAGGTCACCAATATACTGGAACATTCGAATGGATTATGGGGAAATATTGGGGACATATCGTGATCTCAGTCATCAATGCTTTGAGATGCTGTGGTCAGAATCGGACGAGGTGAGGTTCTTTCACACCCGCAGTGGGATGTCTTCGCTTCCAGACCCCCCCCACTGGACCGAAAGCGTCGCTTAGAACGATCCGTTCGGATTCATACCCTAAGGATCCAGTCGTACCCTCTGAGAAGGTGGGACTGGGGTGGGTGCCAGGAGGGTCCAGTCATACCTTTTGAGGAGGTACGACTGGATCCCTAGGAATACATGTTAAGAACCTCGGATTGGCAACTGTCTCAACATCCGGGTGAGATTCCATGGAGATCAAGGTGAAAAGGCCTGCAGCTTCATCAGGAAGCTCCTCCCAAAGCATCTCGAAAACATCCACTGACAAGGGCCTCCCAACATCATGTCCGTCCTCTCCCAGTTCGTCCGCCCCCCCCAAGCATTTCAGAAATCGCCCCAAAACCACCAGGACCTTCAAAGTGACCTCTTTGGAGTCTTATAAGTGACCTCTTTAGGGACTAAGTGACCTCAGTCTAGGATATCAAAAGGTCACTTTGAAGGTCCCGGCACTTCTTTTTTCTCTTCCTCTTTCTGACTTCTGGGGGGAGCTCTCCAGAAAAAAAACACCCGCCGCCCTGAAACGCATCCACCTCAAAACACCACCCGTTCCCCGCTCTCTCCCCCAGGCAACGTACACCGCCTCGTCCTCTTTCTGATAGGCTCGATGGCCCAACATGTTCAGCGCGTACATCGCCGCCGCTCGCAGGTGCCCGGCCGTGCGCCCGCCCGGCGGACTGGAGCTGTCGCCCGCGGGAGGACTGCCAGTGTAGCCACCAGAGGCTCCTGCAAACGGAGGCTTGCAGAAGCGCATGTGGATAATGTTTTATTGACCATCTGCCATCCAAACAAAAAGGCGTTCCTTGTTGGGAAAAGTAAAACATACATAGAAAACAAGATAAACCTCAACATTTTGCTTGAGAACATCCACAGGAAGACCTCGTTTCTTAGACCCATGTCGATGTCTTAGCGACTCGCAACGCACCTCGTGATCGAAGGCGAAAGGCGGCCACGGGGCCCTTGAGATAGGCCAAGTCAAACACTTGGAAGTCTGACCTCTCCTGAAAGCAAGAGCGGGTGAGAGACCGGACCCCTGTAGTGGTACATATGGGATATAGGCTATAATTTTATAGGACTGTTCAATCCTCTCCTGAAGACCTCTCCTCTTGGTCCGAAATCTGGTCATCTCGAGATGGTCACCTCCCCCAGTTTGAAAGAGATGTTGAATCATAAATCAGCAACAAACACAAACCCTTGTCCTTTTTACTGGCATGCCTGGGCCAAAAGCCTTGTTGTGGGTCATTGTGGGATCTGCTGTCCACCTACGATAGGATCATCCCAAACACATGGGGAGTGGAATGGAGTGGATCTCACGGACCACGGGGGATAACCAGAACGCACATCATGGGGGATCATAGCCCAAACACTCCATGTATGGAATCTAATGTCTATACATTGACCCTCCACCAACCGAATGTAGGTACAAATATATGTCCGCCTATAGATGGAAGGTCTGGGTACTGGATTGGTGGATCGCGATGGATCCACCATGCCTCAAACGCCATCGTGGTTTCACCCAAGGCGGTGCGGGCGTGGTGCGTGGACGCCCTGTGTCGATCAAACATGTCATTCCAAGAAGCCAACAGGGCATTGGGCGAGAGTGGCGCTGCTTTGGCCTCGAAGGAGGCCAAGGACCGGCAAAGGAGTGAAATGGAGTGAAGGTCAAAGCACAGATCCAAATGAAGCCACTCAACTTTTTCTCTTCCATGGATCATCTGAGCTTTGTAAAACTTCCTTCGCCCTCCGACGATCTTCTTCCGCGCGCGCGCGCCTGTGCCGTCCACGGCCGCATGCTGGTCGTCTCCTGGTCGGTGCAGTCCTGGTCGGTCCGCAGCTCGGCCAGGTCGGCGGGCGAGGGGTGCCAGTAGCGGTACGAGAGGGCGCGCTCGTAGAGGTCGTTGCTGTGCTCGCCCTTCCTGAGATGTAGTCAAGCAACAAAGAGAAAGAGGGAGAGAGAGGGAATGAGAGCGAGAGAGAGAGAGAGGGGGAGGGACAGAGAGGAAGAGAGAGAGAGGGGGAGAGGGAGAGGGAGAGGGAGAGAGAGAGGGGGAGGGAGAGGGAGGAAGAGAGAGAGAGGGAGCACAAGCTAAACGTGTGGTGCACGTGTTGGTTGAAAAGGGGTCAATTTAAATATATATATATATATATATACAGTCCTATGATTGAAGTGATGTTTGATGGCTTTCGTATAGGACTGAAGGCTTGAGGAGCTCATGGTGTATCATGGTGTAGGCTCCCTTCGGAAAGGAAGAGGTGAAAACACAACAACGACACAGTCACGAGGTTCCTTGGCAACATCATGAATCACTTCAATCACGAGTGGTTTCTCTGATTGGTCAACATCCTGAGCGTTTTCTCCGGCCGTCCCCTCCCAGCATTCGCTGCCACATCCCTGGCATGTGACGACCTGCCGTCATTGCTCCGAGCATCAAATCCAATTGTTGAGCCTCTCCTCAGCAAAACCAGGGCAGCGATCACTACGGCGAAGCAAAGCCGCTGCGGATTTCAGAATAACCACAGCGACGCTGAATGCCCCTCCACTTGTCACGTGTGGTATACCCTGGAACCCCTATGAACGTTTGCAACTGGCCCTAAAGAGAACTGTTATGGCAACATGAAGCAAACTGCAAATCCTGTTCATAGGGTCTTGAATCGAAATGGGAACCAAAGAAAAAATGAGGTCAACAATGAGTGCAGTTTGGGACGGTGCCTCTATCTCAGGATTCCAACCATCATTGATGTCATAGCCTTTGCTGAACCATCATTCGCTCAAGTTTCTTCAGATTTTGTTGAGCCCTCATTTCTGCCATTGGCAAGAGGGTCATTCCCAAACACCATGACACCCCATGACACCAAAAACTCGGCTCAGACACCATGACACTCCATGGGACTGGCATTTATGCCTACATGACCCCTCCAACCACGGCAATGCAGGCAAACATGTCGTATATCTTATATACCAAGGGTTCCATGGCTGGACAGGATTTCAGCACTCACAAAATCGGCAGGGCCCAGCTCCAGGTTGCGCAAGCACCATGCCTAGATCCGCCCAATCTCCTTTCCAAACCCCATCCTCACTATCCAAGCCTCGGAAAAAACTGAGGGCCTTCGCCTGATCCCGCCGCTCCTCCGCCGACAGCCGGAGTCGCCGTGGCAACGCAGGAGTGGCCACGCGGCGAGTCACCATGAGGTCGGTGCGCAGGACCATCTTCATCTTCCCTGGTTGCCCAGGAGTCCCACAAACCATTGATTTGTATCATAGAGTCTTTAGAATATAGAGGCTGGACTTAAGAGTTTTAAGATACAACACCAACTCAACCTTTCTTTTGGTGGTCTTGGAAGGATAGGTAGGTAGGTAGGCAGGTAGGTAGCTGGATAGATAGATAGATAGATATAAACAAACACACATCGACGGTGCACAGCAAGCATGCTCGGCCGTTGGAGTTTGGTTGCTCTGGCCCTCTCGTGGTGGAAAAGCATGGCGTGAACAGGTTATGGTTTTCTGTATCAGGTTTTGACATTGGTCGATGTGTAATATGGGTGCCGTAGGACTAAGATCAACATAAATGTACCCCCAGAGTTTCTCGTTGTGTTTTCGACCTCCCACACCAACAGACGTGATCTAAATTTGATCAGTTTTCTGCCGCTGCGTGCCGCCCAAAGGTTCCCCCTGCACCACCTATTTTATGCATCGCTTGATCTCCAGACCTACGAAACGCCGGGGCGCCTTGGATGTCGGGTAAGCCCTCGTGGATGATCCCTTGATCGAAGATGAGAGCCTTTCCAGCCTCCAACGTCACCTCCATGCAGCGAGAGGCCACGAGAGGCGGGCGGTCGCGCGGTCGGTCGCGCACGCGGTGGCGGTGGGGACGCAGGTGGGAGCTGTCTTGGTCGTCTGGTGGGAGCTGTCTGGTGTCGTCTGGCGAAGTAATCACCTGAGTTGCAGTAAACAAAGTCTATATAGTCTTCGTGGTCACCGGTGCAGACTTGTAACCATCTGATCAGTTCATCCTGGATACACTAGCTACTACTAAGTTTAGTACATCTATAGATTTACTGTAGGATACCAAACGCCGTTGGACTCTTACAGAACAACCATTGTTTTAGGAAGGGCTGCAAACTGCAACACCTGGTCAACCTTTCGGCGGGCGACCGGGTTCATCTCCATCATGAGGTCAGACACAAATCACCGAGAAATCACATCCATCTTCCAATTCCTCCATTCTCCATTCCTCACCAACTCGGTTTTTTTTCCACCGAGTTCCAACTAGTTCCAACTCATCACATCTCCGGATTTCCTCACCATTTGTTTCCCACGAAAAACCATGGGAGGATTCCTCACCAAGTATCTCTCATCTGCCCCACTCATCTCCCCATCTCCCCCTGTGCTCCTAGGTCCCCACCATCGGCGAACTCACCGTGAACTTCCCCCCCCTCTACCGCACCTCGGTGCTCTTCAAGTGTCCCAAGCCGCCACGCTCGGCGATCTCCTGTGGAAGCGAGCGACGAACGGCCAGCACAGCAGTTCCATGGGTCTTCGTGGATAGCAAGGGTGGGAAAATAACATCAAACCATACCAAAACAACTTATTATGCCAGCAGTTCCATGGAGATTGGGTGCTATGTATGGAGGAAAAGGTTGGGGTGTCCGTGGATGGGATTGACTAAGCAGCAGTTCGGAGGTTGTCGGGGCGTCCCTGTCACATCCAGGGCCTCTGGATGGGATGGACTAAACACCACCCCGACATGTGACTCCTGGATGATATCAGTAGATCTGTCCTGGCATGAGAGAACTATGTTTTCCTGATATGTGTGACATGCCAGCAGAATTCACACATCAACCTCACCCTTCTTTCCCGCCACATCCTCAGGTCCTCGGCCAATGTCATGCCCCGAAAGTCGCAGGCGTCGCCCTTGGCGCTGGCGTAGAAGCGGGTGGAGCCAGAGGTGACGATGGGAATGAGGAGGGTACCTGCAGCTCTGGACGGGGCGGATGTGTAGGACCCCAGATGGGCCGACGTTGCACCCGGGCCACCGTCGTCCCACCTTCGAAACGAGGCTACGACTTGAGCTCTAGGGGATGGATCCTGAAATTTTTCGGATGGGCCAGGACAGGCGCCGTTCTTTTGGAGTTCTTTTACGGCTAAGCCGAACACGATGTCTTTATGACTGGCAATATGAAATGTCGATCACCTTTTGGTGGTGGTTGAAAGGTTGTCAATGGGGTGGCAATTTTTTGTCCAGTCTTACCATGGAGTGTCTGCTCAAAGAAACCAAAGTCAAAGTCTATCCCAGGTGGATCCAGTTGCCCCACTCCGTAACAGATGATTAAGACCAAATCCATAGACCTACCGAACCCCCATTTTGTTGTGCCTGGGATCCACTGGGTATCGGTTTCTGTCGAAGCTTCCTTCATGGGAGAACCTTCACAAGTCACTGCATCCTCCAAAACGCTCCAGTTTGGTGGCACTGATGGACTCAGACCCTCTAAAATCAACCACTTCTTACATCCCAAACATCGCCGCAGCTATCAGGTCTGAAGACCAAACAAACTCCCAAGCTGGTCAGGGTCTTGAAGTCTTGGGAGGCGGCTGGTGGCATAGAAACACTCCCAGCATCTTAGTCATACACCGATGGGGCCGGTGTGAGTCTGGAGAGGTGATCGAAACGGAGACGGCGCAAGATGTTGGCCTCCTGTGGGGAGTGTTCTGGGGGATCACAACTGACACACCAATTCGCAGCTCCGCTAGACGCTGCTCCGCTAGCTCTGCATGTTGAGGTGCAAAGGGATCGCTGGTGCATGTTCGGGCTGAAAGGCGCCTTGGATGCGCCAACATGCAAGCTCGAAACCCAGGAAACATGCAAGAAACCCTAATATTCAAGATGCCCTCCATAACGGCTTCCAACTCTAACTGGGTCCTTTGTAAAATGCAACTGTGCCTCAAGATGAGATCCCTTCTAAACTTTGAAAGTGTCAGCCCACATGGTCTGTGGGGTGCGGGCAGACCTGGAATCAAATTGCACAAGATCCTGGTCGCAAATGGAATGGAATCCGCCGACCCCACACCGTGGGGTGAGGCGTGACTGTTGATGTTAGCCTTAGCCTTAAGCCTTAGCCTTAAGCCTTAGCCTTAGCCTTAGACTTACAGCCTTAGCCTTTAGCCTTAGACTTATTATAGCCTTAGCCTTAGCCTCAGACTTATAGCCTTAGCCTTAGCCTCAGACTTAGCCTTAGACTTAGACCTTACCTCCCCTACCCCTCCGGACCCTTGTTGCAGTGACGAAATCCACCAAGATTCCTACCAAAGTGCGACGTGATTGCGACGTGATTGCGACCTGGATTGTCCAAGATTCTGCCATCCCAATCGGTTTACATCTTGGGGCACCCTCTCCACCCGCGCGGGAAAATCAGCACGGTCCAAAATGGTCCCGGGCTCGAATCCCGGGCTGGTCGCGGCGTGTTCCCGGCCAATGCCCTTGATTTTTCCTAGGAATGCTCTAGGCTTTGTCTAGATTTTGTTACGTTTTCGGCTGGATGCTTTTCCAAGAATTTTCTAGCATTTCCTCTTGTTTTG